CATTTACAGTATGCAGCCATCGCTGGATTAGTTTACACCAGCTGCAAAAACTCATCATCTGTAACAAGAGATTCTTCTTGTGTTGGCAGAGACCCTCTAATAGTCTTCAGTCCTCACAGAAGACAAATATTTTACATGCAGTTTTCTTTAAGGCAAAGTACACAGCATTCCACGTTGATTTTTAATTTTAAGATAAATACTTTCACTTCCAGTTTGCTACAAGCAAAAATCACTAAAAGCATGAGCCTTTTATGAGTTTTGTAAAATAAACATGGTCCTCTAGAAAAACTGTTCTTTGTTTTACAGATGATTTCATAATTCAGTGGCATTTCCATGGCGAGTCGTGCACTACTGCAGTCAGAAAAGATGAATTCATCCCTCTAAGGAATTAATACAATACTGAAGGATCATGTTATGGTCTTCTAATTACTTTATGGCACCCTACAGAGAGAATCTACTTTGAACAGCAACACATTTCTGTTGATGAAAACATTGCCCTACTTATGTATCATTTTAGTACAGCATGTCAGGCTGACTCAATCTACCTCCTGCATGCGAGTCAAGATTTTACAAATGTCAAAAATCTTAATTATTATACTTAATTCAAGAACATTAAGCCAAATTCTTCTCCAAAACAGAAGAAAATAAGGGAATACCCCTAACACCAGATGGTGGGGGGTGGAAGGCTGCATTTGTTTCCTTTATATGAAGACACTGTGCAAAACCAGCACTCTACTGGAGTCCACTGTGACTGCTGACAAGTTTGTATAACCTGTTTCTAGAGCTACAGAAGACACACAGGAATTGTAATCAGCCCCCATAAATTATAGCTACAACTCTGAAAAATGCCCATGGACATACTTACCAAATAGAGCCAATACTATTAACACAATGGCAATTCATTGATTTTTCCTTACAGTAATTCCAGTCTATATGCAGGCATATGAACTTGGAAACCAATTCTGAGTAGGATTTCAAACACTTTTGTTCTGGGAAATATTAAAAAAAAAAAAAAAAGAAAACTACCAACCCCAGCTGTAATTATCATTATTTGTTGCTTAAGCAAATACTACAATTTCATAGAGAAAGCTCAAAATGCATTAGGTCCTGCTAATGCTTTTCTGTGCTGAAAACATTCCCAAGATCCTCTTGCTAAAATAATGACCCCAGGAAATGTAGTCAAAGGCACTTCCCTGCCCCCCAGATAGACTATGCAGAGATGATCACACCACATGCATTTCAAGTCAGGTTTTGACCAAAATCTCAGGTTTCTAGGGTTCAGCACCAGAGCTTCATCCCCTGCTTTTGCTCTGTTGAGCTGGCAGCAATTGAACCATTTCACCATTAAGCTGCCCCATGGTATGTTCCTGTATGGTCTCAGTGATTTTCTGATGATTAATCTCAGCCCATCGTTAACAAGGAACAGCTACAGGCAATGGTGAGAGAATGATCAATTAAGCACATGATGAGCAATTTTCTTTGCCTTGTCCAACCCCCTCAAATTAAGTGGTTCAAGCTTGACCATTGTGCCACAATGAAAACGAGTAAAACACATTTAACCTCATTATTCCTGTTTGAATAGCAAATTATCTAAAACCAACTTATTCAGCCATGGCAATGAGGAGCTGCAAATTGTTTGTTAGCATTGTCTTCTCCACATGTCCTTTCTGCTGTGAGTTCTATTACATCACTTCAAATTTATAAAACAACAACACAAAACACTTCAGAGGATACCAGCTGGATAATAAGTGTTTTATAACAGTTAAAAGGGGGCAGCAACAAAGAGCAGAGCCTCGGATACAGAGAGGTGAGGAACGATTTTTCTATTGTATGAGTGACATCTCTAAAGTCAATGGAATGACATGGAATTTAATTTAAAAAATAACACGGTGCAAATCAGAGGAGGCACTAAAAACTGGAACTAGGACTGAAAATAGAAACTGAAAACTAGGAATGATCTTCAGGATTTTTTAAGTAGATCTTCTAAAAGTGGTACTGTAATAATTAATTGACAAACTCTAAAATAATAACTCCTCCAAACATTACCTTTCCCTGTTTGATCAGGTTATCATCTTACTTCCCTCGTCCTTCCCTCTTCATCAATTATTTTTTCTTCATGTACAGAAAAGTTGCCTTATTCCACAAAAAGTCATGTTTTTGGGCACTAGCAAAGGTCTGTGATTCACCCTGCTGAAATGACACCAGCATCCCCATGACATAGAAATACAGCACCTTTATTACATTAAAAAGGAAGAGAGTCATCTGTGTATGGAAATAGGGTGAGAGAATATCCTGAGTCCAGGAGCTGAACAACTGTCAGCACGAACAGCAGAGGCTCACTACTGGGGGGGCACTGGGGAATGGAATGGCGACCATCAGCTCTAATTAAATTTTAATAGATCTAACATTTTCACTTGCAGTTGAAGAAAAGAAACTGATGCAGAAAGATACAGCTCTCGGAGCACTTCCCTACTCCATTCTTCCTGGCTGAAAATAAGCTTACAGGAAATCTGTATTAGCAGCACAGGACTGCCTTTGGTTCACTTCCATGAAGGGTTCTCATTGGAACAAATGCTCTGTGTATCCTCCTTCAGCTCTTCCTAGGCTCATTCCCAGCCTGCAAATTCTTTAGTGAACTGAACAAGCAGTGGTGGTGTTCACACGACCCTCCTTTGTTTTATTAATCTGTTTTTGCTATTTGCTGGACAACAATCTCCCACTAAAGTTATTTTCTAACTCATGGCAATGTTGCCAGCCATGTCATTTCATCCACTGCTTGTAGGGACACCCAGCACTCGAGAGCAATGTCATATGAGATTCAGACAAATATATGGAATTAATTCCCACACATGCCAACAGCTGGGGCACAGATATTTACATCTGCACGACCATGGATCAGAGTATGCTCAGCTCCCAGAAGCTGGGACACATCAACATCAGGAACGTGATCAAATGTGGCTCAGTGAAAATTTGATGAGTGGAAGTCTAAGCTTCTGCAAATCTGCCAAGTCATATTTAAACATTTTTGTTCCAAGGCATTTTGGGAGACTTCTGGATTGGCCTTTGCAGCACTGCTTTACTCCTAAATGCATGCCTCATTTAGATGTGAAATGCTACAGATTTCCATTTAGATTTTCCTCAAAACAATTTACTAAGTCAAATGGAAGGGTGGCGTTTGGGGAATGAATAGAGCTGATAATGAGTTCTTTATTTTCCTCCTAGCTTTCCTTCCTTCCATTTCTGTTTACAGTGATATTAATTAATTACACAAATATAACAGCCTTGAACTCTCTGGTTCATTCCTTGACACCATATCATCATCGTCCACACTGCCAGAACTCATTTGCTATCTTGATAGATTTATATCTTAGATTTTTTTTTATTCTTCTAATACTAATAGAAGAACAACAAGGTTGGGCAGCCCTCTGCTCAAAACACAGCATTAGAAACTGCCCTAGAGAGCTTTGCCATGAACTACCATGTAAACAAAACTGTCCAAAGTACAAATTAAGGGTGTTCATTGGAAGTTCCAGTGAAGAAGTTTTGATTTCTAATAAAAGAATAAAAAGTCTGAACTTTGAGGAAATTCAACACTTATTTAAATGTTAATTTAAAATTTTCTTTTAGAACAAATTCAACACATTTCATTCTAACTAAGCAAAAGGTATATCAGAACAGCAAAAACCAGGTATAAAATATAATGCATTCAGAATGCTTAAAGAGCTGACAAATATGCATACACCAATGCAAGGAGATTTCTGCAGTGCTGAAATAGAGCTCATCAAGCTACATTACAATCCCAGGGGAAAGGGGAAAAGAAGCAAAACCTGCACATAAGGCAGGTGACACCATAAATCGTTCTTGCTTTCCTCACATAATCCAATACTTCCCTAACTTCTTAGGAGTTTCTGGAGTACAAAAGTGACAGCAAAGAGATTTTCTTCAGGTCTCTTGTTTTTAAGAATCTGACAATAGCAACAGTGATAAAATGCAGCAAGTTTTTCTTTCATATGCTATGAAAAAAACCTTCATTGAAAGAGGGATTTTTGGTTGTTTGCCAGATTGCAAAATATGTGTGAACTGCTGTTGAAGAATCCCTTTAGAAATACAAAACCATCACAAATCAATTATTTCTGTCTGGTGGGAGTTTGTTAAAGTTAGTGGAAAGTGGTGATCTCTTGTCCTATTACTATTTACATTTTATACTTCCTGGACATCACAGAAAATGCAGCAAGGACAAAATTTACTCTTAAAGGTAGCACTAGGTCAGTCTTCAGAAATCTTCAACTCCCATGTAAAAGATCACAGGTATTTTTCTGGATATTAATGAAGCTTCACGGCAATTTTACTAAAACTCTGTATTTTTTATTGCAAACTTAAATACTGAAGTCCAAGGAAATAATAACTAAGCCTGGTTTTTTAGATTCAATTGTGGTTTAGATACTTCAGATCTAAACCATCAACTATTTCTTATAATGGCATTTCACCAGATATCCCATCCCATGGTAACACTTTTGCATTAAAAGGGGTAGACTGATATTGCATATCACTTCACTTATCCTGCCAGCAAGTACATAAGAGAAACAACTTTTTGATCTCCTCCCAAATAGGAAAATGCACTATAACCATCTAACCTACACTGAAAGAGTGAGAAATTATAAATATGGTAGAAAAGAACACTATCAACCTTAGGAGTACATATTCTTTAGAAACAAATAAAACCATATAGCTATTCATATTTTATGTGGCTACTACCATGGCACACAACATATTGCAAAGTAATTACCATAATGTGCAAATACTTCTGTAAGAGAAACTACAAAATAAATCTGATTTTTAGTGGTATTTTCAAGCATGGATTGTATTATGCAGCCTCTATACACACTCATTAGGTAATTGGTAAGAACTTCTAGCATTTCACCCTTCATAGGCCCTGAAAAGTCAATGTTATTTAACTGTTGCACAAATGTTAATAAAAACTCATCATCCAGGGAGCTTACCGCGGGTCAACAGAAGGAATCCAAGAACCAAAGTTATTTCCCAAGTCCAGACAAGAGATCTGAAAGAGAGGATAACAAAGGGTTTGTGACAAAGCTGACACAGAGTCCTCTGAAAGGAGCAAAATCAATTGTGACATTTTTCATTTATTTGTAAATGCCTCTTTGGCAGTATGCTCACTCCACACGACAGCTGACTCTTATAGAAAAGGGGAGGTGATGGTAAAATAGAGGATTCTTGACAGTTGCTTTAATGAGATTCTGCATTTGGATCACTCCACTACTCTCCCTCAACAAGGACTGTGCCCTTCACTTTCAATCTTACATTCTCCAATTTGGAAAGCATTAATCCTATGAAAAACTCAACTCAGCCTCCTCTAATCACCACCACAGCTCTTCTTTCCACCTCCTTCACCATCTCACTGACATTTATGTATGGAGTCCACTCACAATATAAAACACGTATAATTAGCATAAAGCCAATTAAACTTCAACCTGATAGCATTACTTTAATCAAAGTCTAGTTGCAGTGTGTGTGGTGAAGATAAGAATCTTGAAAAAGACCTCAGCTGAGACAAGGAGTGCAAACTCACAGAGCTTTCCTCCCAGCTCTAGGAATTATGCTGCTGGAAGTGTTCAATGCTCACACTTTCTTTATTACAAAACTAAATAGGGAAATCTGTAACATGACAGGGAACTTGCCTTGCAAATATTGCAAAAATCATTCTGAGAACAGAAGCAGACAAGGAATTTTGATAACAGTAACAACAGGCAACATGATACCACCTATTTCAGGAAAAGGCCACTGGCTTGAGGATCCAGTGCTCGAGCACACTTATTCTGGCATAACTCTTATCTGACATGTTCCATTCCTATGTTTTCCAACAGTAACACATTTTCTGTTGTTCAAACTCGTTTTCTAGTGCTATATCACATATCTTTCAATGAAACTAGATGACAGCACTGAATAGACCATGATAGCCTCAGGCTGCACTGAAATTAGTATTTTATCCTCTGTTAACATCAGTAAATCATTTGTATTACAATGATAAAGTTTTGTAAGAAAAATAAACACACACAAAAAAACCATACAGGCACTACTACAAGAAGCCTGAATCCCAGCTCTTTTGCATGCTCTAGCATCTTCTGGAAGGTGAAGCTGGTAAAGGCACAGAGAACAAGTCCTTTGAGGAGCAGCTGAGGGAGTTGAGGGTGTTCAGCCAGGAGAAAAAGAACCTCATCACCCTCCACAACCACCGAACCTCATCACCCTCCACAACCACCTGAAAGGAAGTTGGGACCAGGTGGGGTTGGTGTCCCAAGTAATATGCAAAAGGACAAGAGGAAACTGGCACAAGCAGTGCCAGGTCAAGTTTTAGACAGGTCATTAGGATAAATTCCTCCACTGAAAGGTGTCACACCCTGACACACCCAGGCTGAATCCCCATGGCCAGAGGTATTTACAAGATGTGAATCTGGGGGACATGGCCTTGTGGAGGACTGGGAAGTGTTGGGTTAATGGTTGGTCTCTATGATCTGATTCTAGGCAAACATTTGATTTGAAAAAGCTAAATCATCTGCTGTCATACTGATCAGAAAACAATTCCATCTCAGCTCTGGATGAAAGCTGGTTAGTAAGTCATCTTTGAGAAGTTCACAATTAATTACTCTATACCAAAATCTCCTAGACAATATACAACATAAACACTGAATAAAGATAATTTATTTCCTGAAAGAAGAGAGAGATGGGTCTTCATGAGTTACAGAGTAGTTTGCTTGACAGCCTTCAGAGAACCAGAGGAGTAATCCACAGCTCAGCAAAATTTCCATTTTTCATTGGATTAATTTGTTAAAGAAACACCCACAACTTATTGTGGAGGTTTCTGGAAGAAATCTTTTTGGCACCTTCAATTTGAGGATGCAGACTAAAGGTGCAATTTTGAAACCTTTTACAAAATCTTTCCTGGTATGTAAAAAAAAAATAACTCTTTAAGAGTCTCAATTGATGGAATCAAGGACTGTGATTCACTTTCAGTATCAGCATTTCTTTTCCTTTGAGATTCACTCTTTGCTGAAACTCTTTTAAATTAGTGTAACAAAGCCCAGCACAACATTAAATCACCTCCCAAGCATATCAATCTCAGTTACCAAAAAAGAGAAAATAGAGTACACTTCAAAACAAATTCTCTGGAAGTTTCTTCTGATTGATATCAGATCTCTTAAGCTAAACGACCCCTCATATTTCATTCCTAAAAATATACAGTTGCTCCTAGTAACCTTTCCCAGTTGGATGGAAAGCAGGAAAGGCCAGATTCTGGCCTCTGCTCTGGTAAGGGAGTACCAATGAAAAATAATGAAGTCAGCACACATTTGGAAAAAAAATTATTATTTAGCTCCAAGGAAGGTTGCTTTGTAATTCAGACAGGTGATCTGGAGGCACAGCAGAGCAATAATGACTAACATCACATACTAGAGGGAGTATAAATTTTAATGATATCGCTCATAAAACCCACATTTTAAAGGTTACAAAACAGAAACAAGCTTACAAAGAAAACACATAAATCATTCAAGGTGTCAGATTCCTATTCCTTAGCTATTTTAAGAGCTAACAGCCTGTCCATCACTAAATAAACTGGAATATGCTACACTCATTTATGCAGACCTGAAAAGGGAATGTACACTAGAGTTCAGCAACCATTCATCCCTACAGACTCTATTCTTAACAACACAATAGCAACAGCCATGTGAACTTCACTGACTTATTCATTATTCGACAAAATCAAACAAAAACACTTGACCAAATTCACCTACATCTAGACAAGATCACAACAATACATAATTAGCACCATAATTACAACGAGTCCTAATCCAGAGACATTAATGCACTTCACTATTTGCTCATACACACTTCATTGTAGGCCCTTAAATATAGGGCATTAACAGAGGATTAATGGGGCATTCCCATCAACAGACCAGATTACTTTCATCCCCGTGCAGATGAAAGAGAAACAGAGGCTCATATTATAATTTTTAATTACTGTAATTGGTCTGCATTTGCAACTGCATCTATTGTTGTCCCTATACACACATTATCAACACAGAACAATTTAAATGGCTGGTTGGGAAATGGTCACTTAGGGCCAATAAACCACTGTAAACAGTGAACTTTGACAGACCATCATTCAAACCCACAAATGACCTTTTGAGCTGGGTTTTACAAAAATGACATGCAGTTTGGCTCAGTGGTCATTTCTCTCAGTCCCAGAGGCTGGCACCTCCCTTTCACTGACAGTAACTTCCACCTCCACAACACAAACTCCCTACTCCAAGGTTTCTTTCTGGGAGCAGCACCCCAGGGCCAAGCTCACCACAAAAAGCTTCCATAAGGCTTTCTACATTCCATCTCAGAGATCAGGATATGGTTTCCAGAGCTCGCTCTGTTTTTACGTTACTTTTTTTTTCCTAATATTTTATATTTGAGCTCTTTAATGGATAACCCAAAATTGATTTATTCATTTTTTTCAGAAGTAGACACACATTGAAAGACACTTGAACAAGGTCGTTCTGCCTTGCTGCGAAGTCCAACAAGATTATCAATAAATGCCTTATCCAAAATCCTCTGATGTCAAACAGAGTATTTCTACTGGCTGGATTTAATACTGAATGCAGATTTGGGATCTATTCTCAATCCAAACTGCAGTGCAGCAATCAACCACTCAACTCCACAACTCTCCCTGGCGACACTCATGGGATTTCAAACTGTAACCTCACATTGGAAATTTCTGCATCCAATTACCACTTATCAGAGGCCACCAATCTCTTAAACTTTAATGGTTAACGAAAACTCAGCGATTGGTTTACAAAGGCAATAAACACCTTAATGCTTTCAGTAAGCTCTGTGCCTTATACTGTGTTTTTAGCTCTGGAATCTTTTCCTGGAGCTCTGGAGGAACTTTATTTAAGTAAACTGCTAAGCTATTATTTTTCCAGTCTTTGTTTTCTCTAGGAAATGATTTAAGAAGAAAACCCTCTAACAGTGATCTCAGCATTCATACAGCAGTGAACTTCAGATACAGTAATTGCATAGCTGTGAGCTATGACGACTTTCCCATGGGGGAGAAATGACCTGGTAATTCACGAATGACAAAGTCAAAAGTAAGGTAAGCCGGGGGAGGGAAAGGATTTCCCCCCAGGATGAGATAAATGTAATTTCTCACAGCAGTGTATATGTCTCTTAAGCCTCAGGTGGTTTTAAGTTAATGAGATTAGTTCCAGCAGGCAGTGAAATCCCAGGATATAGGAATTATATTTCATCAGTTTTCACTTCATCCAGCAAGCACGGTGGAGTCAATCTTTGTGTCATTTTGTTATTGTCCTGGTTTGGGTCTTGTTCTCAGGCTCAAGCCTGGCTAAAGCACCTCATAACTTTGACTTAAAAGCTTAAGCATCATGTAAAGAGTGTGTTTAAATGTTTAAAAGGGAGGAGAAAAGCACCAGGCCTAAACTGTAGAAAAGGATTTTTTTGTTTCACTTTTCAGATGTGCTTTTATTCAACGGAATTTGTTCTTGCACTTTCCCTAAACCAAGGTCACGTGCATTTTTATCCTGAACACACAAAAAGCCCCCAGAATTCACTGCCGTAAGAAGCACTGCCTTTAAAATATCTACACCCTAAAAAGATGGACATTAACAGGTTCTGATGTCTGGCTAGTTCAGTATTTTAATCATAACCAAAAAGAGCTCCTATCCAGTGACCACCCACTGGATGTCCAAGCTGCAGCTTCCAGTCCCCAGATCTGCTCATACAAGAACACCTTCACTCCTTTGTGCCATTACAACAGCTGTAAAGAAGAAGGCTTTTAGAAGATTAAAAAATAGGGTCAGATGATAACACTGATTTCCACTAAGAATTCTTCTACAACCAGCCCAATTTTTACTTACAATCATTGAATAACTGGAAATTTAGCAATTGTTTTACACTCTAGATACTATTTTTAGCTGTGAATTTAGATTTAACCTTGATGAAATCACCACTGTAAAGAAAATGCAGAAAAATCTAGTG